GGGGAGGTTTCGGTTCAGCCCTGTAGTAGTTGACATCCACTGCAGGAGAAAGAGCGATGTATTCTTAGTACTAGTCTCCCCCTGCTAGGATGAGACTGTGAGACCCGGAAGGGTTATTATTAGTTCGTGGTGAAACGAGAGACCAGAAAAGAATAGATTCGGTCTATCAAATGTAATGTTGTAAGTATTGTATTGAGGTCTAGATATTCTATTCGGAATGATATCCACTCTCGTCAACCCCGATCTGGTCGGATGCGCAGCAGGCAACTTCAGCCCGCCGTAGGCCGTCAGCCAGTCATAAGAATAGAACATGTGGCGCAGTCTCTAAACCCAGGAGGGGTTTAGCGCCCTCCCGCAAGATGTTCCCAGTTTACGGGCTATTGAACGTGCAAGTCGCGAATGAATGCGTCATGACTGACATCTGAAAGTCTCGCTCCTGTGATACCGAAAGGCTGGTCGTGGAAAATCCCTTTCGACCTCGGATAATACAGCCCGAAGTGAGTGACCGCCATGAATATCCCTCACCGACACCACGATCTAAGCAACTTAATCATGACGAAGGGGATGTCTGTCATCCAATGACCGGGAAATCAATAATGATATTGAGGGGATTAGAGTAATAGTTGTGATTGACCAGCCTGATAATGAGTAATGGCTTCAGTCGCCAACCATGTTTTTCCCTGTGATGCTCCGCATTCTGGCTGGGTCCCTTATCGTCGTGTCCTGATTGGCCCTGGACCGCCGTCCATGACAAACGCCGCTGACTGGATTCGGCCCGAATCGTCATCGCTCGCCTGGAATGCCTCAGGTTGACGACAGTTGAACATACATGGAACAATAGCTTGGAGAAAGTCCTCCTATAGTATGAATTCATCTTCAGGACCAGTCGATCAGCCAAGAAATCTGCGAGTCACATTGTATCGCTTGGCGAGGGGATTCCAAAGTCGATTCATGACCACATGTCATCACTTAATCGACTACTAGCCGTCGTCGTCGTCGTCGTCGTCGTAGTAGTAGTAAGTGACGGGAAAAAAGGGAGCAAAAAGAGAAAGAACGCAGAAAGGGATAGGAATAATGAAAATCATTCCACTACAAATTTTAATTTCATTGATCTTTGTTCTGTAAGTCTTGTAATGAAGAATTCCAATGAAATTTTTAATGCCTCATGCCCCGTCAACGCATGCAGAAGAATCCCAATGCATATTTTTTGAAACCCTCGATGGATCATTTTGTTTTAATGAGGTATCTAGTCTGGTAGGGTAATTCGCGCAGTTGATCATGGAAATTTATTCTTCCAGCCTTTGGTTTTATTTTATTTTATTTTAATTTTTTAATATTTTATTTTTTTTCATTTTTTTGGGTTTTCTTCTTTTTGTAGCTTCCTCTTCTTTGGGATGGACATCGACGGGAAGATTTTCGGGATACCACGAAGCAAAGAGACACTTGACAGGTCATTCCCATACTTGTTATTCCCTCATGGTTTAGATAATGGAAAACCACCAAACGGTCTTCTTGCAGTGGTTGTTCATGCACTGGGATGTACAATTAAATCCCTCAGCCCTGGTATAAGGCAGCCAGGCATTACACTAGCCGCCTCCACCGCCATTTCCATATGGGTCGGAACTTTATTTCTTGGGAGCAACAACAGCAACATTCATTCTGCGTCTCGCAGGTCTGGGCATATGTATGTATGGAAACGTGTAAAGCTACAGATCTCCATCCCACCGGATCTTCTTTCCCTTTTCTTCCCATTTTTCACGGATTGCTGCCCGTTGGGTTGTCATGTTCCACGTTCGATCATTTTTTCGCCAACTGCGCGTGGACAGGTAATACTAGCAACGGATGATGCTATCTCGTGAGAGAAACTGCGCTGGCATGGTAGTCTTGTCGTAGTTCCCAGAGAGCTCCCATGGCAGAGCTTCGTAGATCGGGGATAGAGTCCATGCAGGTACAGCATCGATTGCTGGGTTAGCTCCGGACAGGGAGATGGGTCTCGTCTGCAGAGCCTCAGGTGAAGATCTGGTCAAGCCTCAACTGATCCGCTGGAGGCAGGGCACCACTTCAGCGGCTACCAACCGACAGCGTGGTCGAGACAACCCTCTCCACTCAGCGGCAGCGGCAGCCGCGGCTACCCAACCAATCCGGGATGTGTGACAGGTATTGTCAACGGCTCTTTCGCTGCTGCATCCATCGTAGGATCCATTCCACCAGTGTCCCGATGTCTTGAGATACTTCCAGCACCCGGGCTATCTTGTTTTGTAGTTCAATCACTTCGTTCTTCTGGCCATCGGTCATTTGCACGTCCATATCTCCAAGGCTACTAGAGTGGTCCAGCAATCCTGTCATGTCTACAACCGAAACGCGGCCGTTCAGACCAACTTCCAGACTAACGGAAACCTTGCTTATAGTAGTTTTTTCCTTGGTCGATGCGGCAGAACCGGGTGGATCGTTTACCGTGAAAAGTAACATAACGACGGGCGCTTGACCAAGCTGTGTCCGCAATGTAACGTCTACTTTAACCTCATCGGCATCGTCGTCGAAATTTTCAGCGTTCAACTTAGATGTGTGCTTCCCTTTGTCCGTTATGATCCTGTCCATGTTATGGAATCCCTTCAGTAACCGATCGAGTTTTTTCTCGTTGGGATCATTGTTGCTCAAGGTAATCACATTTTTCTTTGGCTTCCCTGGTTCCGTGAATTTCAGCTGACTAGCCGGACTCTTTGGGGAGCCTGTTTGGGTATCCTTTCTGTTATCGTCATTCTTAGACGGGGGACTGAAAATGTTACGAATCATGTTGGCTAAAAACGCATATTGGCGCAGTGTCTATAGGGAGAGAGAACAAAGAGAATCAGTAACGTCTTTCATCAGTAAATTTGCGATTGCACTCACTGGAAGAATATCTGCAAGCTGCCGTGGGTGTGCAAATGGGATGTCACGCATCGTTCGTCCAGCAACAGATTCAAAGGGTTGGAAAGTGTAGCTATGTTGTTTAGTACATGGCTTGCCATCCTGATCAACAGTCTGGACGGTCATCCTGCGCCTTTTGCGACCTAGTTGGGATGCTTCCTCAGGCCCAAGTCCCATAGCTCCCGCCGCTGATAATGGTGACCATCCTGGTGCTAAGAGTCCATCGTAAGTTACCATCTTAAACTCTTGTGGCATCTGAATGCCCAGATGTCTGTATATGTCCGAAGCTGCCAAGATTGGCAGTTCAAGGGGTGGTTCCATTCTCGCAACAAAGCGCCGATTCGGTGCGGCACCTAGCATGCCTGAATCAAGCACCATTGCATCTTGTTGGCCCTGGGTAGGAAGAGTCGCCGGTGGGTCTGCCCAGTTAACAACAGCAACATCAGACCCTCCCATCTCGTTCGATGACGACGGTTCGTTCGCATTGTTGTTGTTCATGACTGTAAAGACCTCGGAGTTCACCCACTCTTTGGACACACGGAGCGACGGATATCCTTCTTCACATTCTATTATGATGTTCCATTTGCCATTATGGTTCCCGGATTCGCCATCCATCGACGGTTCTGACGGCTGATCTATAGCCATGTCATCAGGGGAAGCCTTCTTTTGCTTGGCATCCAGGACGCGTGCTTGGTGGACCCAGTACTCTAAGTTGAGGCCAATCCGGCCTCCTTGATGCAGACACGGCTGGCCAACCCAACCGCTGCAGAGGTGATCGTAGATACCAGAAAACTTGCGGTGATTTCCTTCTTCATCCCAAATGCGCTTCAAGCTGTCGTAGAGGCCTTCTATGGCCTCAAAGCAGTTGACTTCTTGGCTGAGTCTGTCATGCTTCGCAAGCCACTGTAGATTCTCATGGAACTTAGTCAAAGTTTTCCAAGAGCTCCGTCCCCCATCTTCAGGGGATTCTATCAAATCACGCTTTAGGACAGCCGTAGCTTCCCGACGCTCACCGTCAGTAGCTTCTGGCGTTGCGATATTCAGGCTGACATCCTTCACGGTGTTCTGCGCACGGTAGAACTCAATTTCAAGGTCGACAAAGTTTCCCGCAATACTGAGACTATCCTCCTGCCAGATCGACTCAAAGCCTTCAAGCTGGCCCAGTCGCTCAATGCCTTCCCTGCACACTCCTCTTCCCGCGACTCGCGTCCGTAGAAGCTGAACCACGTCCTCAATGTGTCTTCTCCGTTCTTCGTCGCTGTCGCGCGCACTTCCGAGTTTCAGGCCTTGCATACCGAGTGCCTGAATGTCGCTGTCATGCATACCGGGTGCTACTAAAGCGTCATGAACTGCGGGAGACGGGCTAATCCCGCCATAGCCACCGAGTGCAAGAAGAGCCGACGGGGAGCTGAGAGTGACGGGATCGTCAGCCCCAGTAGCTGCAGCCAGAGGTGTGGCGTTCTGATGTGTCGAAGTCGGCTGATGGTTATGAGCATGTCCCGAAGCAGATGGGGTCCTCGTTGATGGTGATTTATGCGATATAGGTCGAGCCATAGGCCCAGAGGGGCGGGGAGAAGAAGTCAGATGGGTCGGCGTTGCGCCGGGATTTTGCTTGGAAGATGGAGTTGCCATTGTAGCTGCTCAATACGATGAATTCAAGATGTAACCAGATCAATAACTAGACAAATGCGGAGTATCACGCATGAAACGATAGCAGCAGTTCGATTTGAGCCTCTTCTCAATACTGCACCGCTGCGCAGTTCATTATCTTCTATCTGACGGGCTGACCGGGCAACACCATGCAATTGTGAAAACTCACTAGACTATCAAAAGCATCGCCAAAGTATGAAGGTAGAGAATGGAAATTGGGAAGGCCAAAGAAAAGCGAAAAGACTGTTTTATCAACCAAAACAACACCCAACTCTATGGATTTCCGGTGAAGGAACTATTTGATGCGGAATGACTTGCGGCCAGAACGCGGAGTCACATGAGTTTGTTGTGTTTGCCTCCGTCGTCATAGGTAAATCGAAGATCGAAGATTAATCCTTACCTTCAACTACTTCAACGACTTACTCAATTGAAGTCATTTCAAAATGTTTGCCTTTAGGACTTTCGCCCGTAATACTCCTAGTCTGTCAAGATGGTCACAGGTCCGGAGTGTCTCGACATTAGAAGGTCATCCCCACATTGTATGTTTGCAATTGAGTTGATATATGCTATGATTGGCACTCACAATTTATCTAGTATGTTTTCCCATCTAATGGAAGCCACATCTTGTCATTGTTGCCGTCAGAGCCTCCAAACTCTAGATTGTCCATTGGCGTCACCTCTAAACTGCCCCCTACGACGGACTCCTTTAGGGAGAACCCAGAATTCCTGAAGATCCTACAGGATGTGGTTTCCGAGTATGGCCACCAGGACCCGGACGCTGTCTCCCAAGCCCAGGTGATGGTGTCTACATCCGGCGCTAACCTGGGCTCTGGTGGTGTCCTGTTGACGGGTGGACGTGCCAGAAGACGGCATAGTGCAGCAGATTCCAGCGGTGGAGCGAGCGGCCAAGGTGGTGCTGGATCTGCCGGGCGAGGAGGCTGGATACACATTTCGGACAACCGGCGGCCACCTGAGTATGGCCGGATCGCATGGCCCGAAGATATCTTTGGAAGTCTTGAGGTCGATGGTGACGGTAGTTTCGTGGGAAGCAACGGAAATTATCAGCCAAGTGGTACGGTGTTTCTGTATAGAATGTTCCAGGGGGGCGTAGCTGACTTCAGTAGGTACTTATCGGATCGTGACTCGAGACGGAATGTAAGTCACAATTTCTTGAAATGGCACCGAACAGTACTAACAGCAGATCTAGTTTGGGGTTGAGTCCATTCCTTAGAGAAAAGTTGGTACAGAGGCTGCGTCAACAGGGGAGTCAATAACGGACGCATTGAGATACCATGTACATTATTCGACTGTATTTTATTGAACTTGATGATAACTATAGCTAAACTGCAGGCCAGTTTGGTTCGAATCGCAACTCACATCACCTCATGACGAGTTAGTATTGCAGGGCACAGTCCGAATAGCACATATCATTCTATTCGTTGATAGAGGCAGAATATTTCAGTTTGAGAAGAACTTTGTGATTGGCTGAGATCCATCAGCTTTCTTCGCGTTCACCTTTTTCATGGGCTTTTCATTATGAGTAGCACTTCGCATCTTCTTTCCGACAGGGCTTGTCTGTTGCTTCGATACTGGGTTATGCTCTGCGACCTTCTTTGACGAAGGGGTGAGCGGCCCTGTTTTTGGTTTCTTCATCCCCTCATCTGCTACCTCTCCAGGCTCCTCGGGCGTGCGTTCTCTCTTGATGCCCGCTGCTGGCTTGGGTGCATTATCCTCGCTCCATTCACCGCCCTTCGTTGGACGCGGATCGTCTTCGTTCTTGATTATATTTTGATCCGTACTGCCATCGCCTTCAATTTTGACACCCGACTCGGTCTTTTTCTTTGCATTTGCGAAGAAATTCGCAATATTACTCTTGTTTTCCTTACTGCTCACCGGTACAATGAAGTCAGGGGAGTTGTTTCCAACCTTGCCGACCTCCTTGGGAACGGGATAGCATTCCAACTCGCCCTCGTACGGCTTTAGCACAGACTGCAGTTCCTTCGACCACGTCGTCCGATTCGGATCCAGCCAAATATTCATCGCCTCACTAGTTGGATCAAGAATCACCGGCATGCGATCATGAAGGAACCTCAGGTAAGGGTTTGAAGACGTTGTAATAATCGTATACGTGTAGAGCTTCTCATCCTCCCCTTCCACAGCAAATCAGCCTAACCACCAAATAACCAACCCAATATAGGTCCACAAACTCACCTTCATAAGAAACACAATCCCACAACCCAGCAAAAAGCATCAACTCCCCATCCTTCCGCTTCACAAAATGCGGCACCTTCTCCTTCCCCCCAGGCCCCTTCTTCAACCACTCATAGAAACCCTGACAGACAACCACACACCTCTTCTTCCGCTTCATGGACGTCCACATCCCGCGATCCTCGACCAGCGAGTCATCCCGACAATTGATCGTCCGCATCAGCGACCCGTAGTCCGGTTTCCGCTTCGTCCAGAACGGGACCAGTCCCCACTTCATGCTCTGGATTTTGTAATGGAGCTGGGAATGCAACTGTTCGTCTTTCCCTCCGGCCCTATCCTGGGTACGTGATGTAGTGTGAGGCCTACTGTCGTCGTCTTCATTTTGTTCCTCGCCGTGTCCGGAGGGATATATATCCGCGCGATAGACGGCGCCAAAGCTCCCCGGGGCGAAGTTGTATGTCTCTCGGATCTCGTCATCGGAGGGAGCTTCGTCGACCTGGAGGCCTTGTTCTTGGAGGCGCCGACGCATGAAGGCCATGCGCTGTTTTGCTTGTTAGATACCTAGTTGTCTGCCTACAGAAGTTGAGCATGTCGAGGGACATGACATACCACGCCGAGGGCATATCTACCACACATATTCAGATCATTAAAGAACAAGAACCAGTAGAAGAAGGATTTCCCTTAAAATTAAATATTAGTCGCTAGCTACAAGCCCAATCTAGGCAGAGATAGAGAAGGGTGCCTGGAATAGTAAAGAGAATCGATAAGAGTGCGACGTCATACTACGACGGGAGCTCCGACCAATAGGGATGGAACATGGATTTTAGTTCTTTTCCGCAATTGAATTCTTTCTCCTACATTTACTCTCTTCTCTTCTCTACTCTACACTCTTTCACATACACACTCCCTCACACCACCAACCAATTCAATCCAATTTACCAAATCACACAATCTACTACAACCCCCCCCCCCCCAATGCCGAACTAACCAACTAACCTAAAAAACCAAACCAAAATGTTCACAACAACCACCCTTCGTCTCCCCAGAACCCTCACTTCAACACTCACCCGCCGCCTCTCAACGCTTCCCAAAACCCCCCGCACAAGTCTCAAAACCAACCTCCAACCCTTCCAACTTTCACAAAAGAGATCCCTCTCGACCTTCCAAAAATGGACCCTCGGCCTTAAACAAGCCAAACGCGACATCTGGCGCAAAAACCCCATCCTGCTCCCGCTCGCGCTCTTCTCCGCCGCAACAGCCACAGCTATATTCACCTATATCGCCTATGTCGAGTACACGCGCGTCGGCCCCCAGTACCACAAGTTTCCACCGCCGGTGGCGGAGGCGCTCCGCACGGCGGTCTACTACACGGAGGTGGACCTGAGTCCGCCAAAGGCGCTGCAGGCATACAAGGAGGCGCTGCGGATTGGGATTGAGATGGGGATGCATCCGTTTTCGGACGAGGTGGTTGGGATTAAGATACAGGTAGCGATGATGCTTGAGCGCGCAGGGTTGGCGAAGGCGGCGGTGGAGGTGTTGGAGCGGACGAAGGGGGAGATTATGGGGTTTGTGGAGGGGAAGGATCGCGGGGAGGGAGTGATTGGGGTGAAGATTGAGAAGGAGGATGGGGAGGAGAAGAGGAAGGAGTTGGAGGAGTTTGAAAAGCAGCAGCGGGATCGGGTGCTGAAGAAGGCTGTGGGGATTGAGATGAAGCTTGCGGAGCTGTATTCGAGTGATTATATCCAGGATGAGAAGAAGGCGGAGGCAGCGCAGGTTGCGGCTGTGGAGTTGTGTTTGAAGGAGTTGCATCGGCGACAGAGTTTGGGCCTCCCTGTTGGGGGTGGGTTGGAGGCTGATAATACTGAGGGGTGGCTGAATGTTACGGAGATTGCGACGGCATTGACGGATCTGGCGGGTCGGTATACGGCGCAGGAGAACTATGAGCTTTCGATTCCGCTCCAGATGCGGGCGCTGGATCTGCTCCATACTGAGGAGGGGGTTACGCCGACTTGTAAGCAGGTTGTGCTGCTGAATAGTGTTGCTGGGTGCATGGCTGGGCAGGCGCAGAAGCCTATTAGGGCTGAGGATCCGAAGAAGGCTCGGGAGCAGCTTTTTGATGCTGCTCAGCAGTGGGCGAAGAAGGCAATTGACGTTGCAGCGAAGATTCAGCCTCCTGTTCGCGATGAGGAGTGTGATACTTCTTGCGTGGCGGCGACGTTCAACCTGGGTTGGCTGGCGGAGTTCCAGGGTAAGGCGAAGGAGGCCAAGAGGCTCTACGGAGAAGCCAAGTCGTTGTCGCAGGGTCTGGGCTTTGAACAGGGCGTCTCTATGGCCGAGGCTGCTCTTAAGAGGCTCGCGAAGGAATAGATGAGCGGAGGCCTCTGTACCATAGACCCATGACATGTACAATATGATATAGCTAGTGTATGGATAGATGGATATGAAAAGTCCGGCAGGACATGACAGGCAGTCTTTACTTGGATGAACACGGCAGTGACAGATATAGTACGATCACCTTACCCTAATGTATAAGCCCCAGCAGTGCTTTTAAGGTATTTTTTGTCTTTGTATTAGAACATGGCATGTCTTCCTTTACAAGATCCCAGACAGTCGGATTTTATGAATCGAGTAAGCTAGACATGTTTAGAAAAACTTCGGGTCCGGTTAAGGAACGCCGAAGTGCTTCATTGCTCGTGGCTCATACATCCCAACCAATGCCTGCCCTTTTTTGTTAAGGAAAAATAAAAAACAAAATAGTTATCTTCCTCTCATGCCCCTCACCGATGGGTATTCATCATTTATGCCCTCGACATGACACCCCAGGCACGGATCTTGTTGTCAGTGTAACCAGCGAACAGAGTCTGGCCGTCAGCGCTCCAGGCCAAGCTGACACACTCGGGCTCGCGGCTCTTCTTGCCCTTCTCGATGTACTCGGGCTTGAGCTCATCAACCTTGCTCTTCTTCTCGAGGTCGAAGATGGTGATGCTGCTGGCGGTGGCAGCGCAGAGCCAGTAGCGGTTGGGGGAGAAGACGAGAGCGTGGATCTCATCGCCGGCGTGGAGGGAGTAGAGGTGCTTGGACTCGTTGAGATCCCAGAGCATGGTGGTACCGTCCTTGCCACCGGAGGCGCAGAGGGAGCCATCGGGGGAGATGGTGACGGTGTTGATGTAGCCAGAGTGACCGATGTGGTCGGTCTGGAGGCGGCAGGAGGCGAGCTCCCAAACCTAGTAACACAGTTAAGATTAGCTGTGAACACACTTTTCCACGTGCAGGTGCAGAGAAATAGCATTGAAGTGTTGAATGTTCATCAGGGTATAGGTGATTGTTGGTCTCATGGCCGTAAGGCTCTGAAGTAGCAAATACGTTTTATACAGAAACATCATTTGAACAGGTCGAATTCGGTGAAGGGTAAAAGCAAACAGTCTGATGCTTACCTTGACGAGCTTGTCCCAGCCAGCGGAGACGATGACAGGGTTCTGGGGGTTGGGGCTGAAGCGGACGCAGGAGACCCAGTCGGTGTGGCCCTTGTCGGTGATGGTGAACTTGCAGTCACCGAGGGTGTTCCAGAGCTTGATGCTGCGGTCACGAGAAGCGGAGACAATCTGGCGGTTGTCGGCGGAGAAGGAGACGGAGAGGACGTCGTTGGTGTGGCCAACGAAGGTACGGGTGGTCTCGCCGGTAGCGAGCTCCCAGAGGCGGAGAGACTTGTCCCAAGAGGCGGACAGAGCGTAGGCACCGTCGGAGGAGATCACCTATTGGATTCGCAAAATCCACATGTCAGCCCAACTTCCTTTCGCACCAAGTCCCCCGCGATATCCACGGTCTTCGGAAGGATTCGGTATGCATACACAGTCAGAGACGATGTGAGAGTGACCCTCGAGGCTGCGCTTGGGGTAACCGTAGGCCTGCTCGTCGCGGGTAAGGTTCCAGATGATCAGGGTCTTGTCGCGACTGCCAGAGAGCAGCATGTTGGGGCTAGAGTCGGAGAAAGAATCATGTCAGAAACCATGTTATCCAGAATCAAACAACCAATGCCATTTCTCGAATTTCTTCATTACTGAAGATTTTCACACATCTTTCTTGTATGGCTTTCAAAATTTCTTTCTTGTCTTTGATATCGGATCCGGAATTCCCTTACTTCTCCAAAGAGGTGGCAAGGGAAGTAACCCAGCCATTGTGACCCTCGAGGGTACCGCGAAGGACCAGCTGCTCAGCCATGATGACGATGGTAGGGGACCGCGAGAGGGAGAGAGGATGAACGCGGGCGGAGCAATTGTCGTTGACTCTGAGGTAAAATCCCAGCGTTCGAAGATGGAGGAGCAGAGTCGGCGTGCCCGCCTAAGCCCTAACTCCCTTACCGCCCTCTGTGTGCGTGGTCACATGGAACCCTAACATAAGCGAGTCACGTGTGGCGGTTAGTTTTCTTAGTTTTCTTAGATTCTGGTTCCGATAATAGTGGATCCTCAAGCAATATAATGCCATTCGCTATTGGTATCTTAAGAGATGTAGCTTCCATATTGCCTAATTGGTTTTACAGTATGCATCTCTCTCTCTCTTCACTCCGTGATCTTGCCAATTATTCGACAGAGCTCACAACTCACTACTTTTGTGATATATCTACAATAGTACACAGTCTTTTCCAGTGGAAATATCAATCCTCTTGACCAGTAGTACTCTTGTTAATGACAGCTGAAGACGTTAAGCATATACCCCAAACAGGCAATGTAACTCGATGACTCGGGAGAGGATGTGACAAGCTGTACATCAGCGACTATATAGATATACTAATCACATACCGAATAGTTACTAGCTGTCATGTATCCACCAGTATCTGTTATGCTTTTACAACCTATACAGACATGCACTAGATACCAAGTATTACACCACACCAACAGCACATCCTCAGAGCACTAAAAGAACCAAGATAACAAAAGGCATCTAACACGAATAATGCATAAATTCCCTACACGAACCAACTATATAGTACAATCCCAACCCAGTATGCCTTTATACAAAACATCTCTCTATACAACACCCTAATCTACATCACGAATCAAACACCTGGACATTCGGCATGCGACCAAGTCCCGCACCACCCGTCTTCTTACTCTTGGCAGCATGGAATCCAGTCGCACTGTTATCCTGCACATGCTGTCTCAAAAGGTGCAAGACCTCCGAATCAGCCCAGCGAGACGGAACGGGCCGGTAAGCAGCCTTATAGGCACCGACCGTCTGGGCCCATTCGCCGCTCTTAGCCCCAGTGCGCTTCCAGGTCTCGGTGGGGGTATCCTCAGCGACGTTGCCCTCAGTAGGAGGGTCCTGCGTCGCCCAGTAGTAGATATCCCAGTCGTTCTCGTCGAGGAACCGGTCATACTCCTGCAGCTGCTCCTTGTTCATCTTGGAGAGATAAACATCGGCGAAGGTAGAAAGCAACAAATCGGACTCGAGGATTCCTCGCTTCCGGCTCTGATCTATTCCATGCGCCTATATCAGTCCCCATAGATCTTCCAATTAGGAATTAGTAATACTAGAAAAATGGTATACTCACACAACAACCTGGCCCGAATAGTAGAAACATCCTCCCCACTGCGCTTCAGTGGTTCAACTTTAAAAGTAATGCCCTCCATCTCACCTACGCCCAGCTCCGGCTTCTGCGCGCCCGTCTCCTGGCGCCCACCCGTGAAATGCTCTACCTTTCCGGGGTAGGGATCCGCCGGCTTGTAGTTG